AAATATATTGAAGAAATAAAATATAGTTACAAATTATGAAATTCATTGAGTTTGCTACAGGGGTGTCATTTTAGTTTTTTTTAAGGGTGTGCAAGCAATTAAAGAGGCCAATTTTTTTTCACCACCAGGCCAACATTTATGATTAGCAGTAATTACTGATTAGTCGCTGTACATGCACAACATTAAAAATTGGAAAACTGAAGGCCAAAATAGCAAGGCCATGTATCAGTGATGCCTAGGCCAATAATTAAAGATGAAAAAATTCAGGGTGTGCGAGTGCACACCCTGCTCCCCCAAAATGGCGCCCTTGTTTTACTATATTTATAACTTTAAAATAGTTTTAAAAAGGTTAGAAGCAGTATATTTTAGTTAATTTGAACTCAATGGCATGAAAAAAACTTGGAATATTCCGTTTTTAATTATTAGGATATATTTATACAAGGCTTTATTGCAAATAAAAATTAAAATTTTATTTGAAATTTACTAGGAAAAATGCAAAACATTAATTAATTATTTTATCAAAATAAATACAAAGTTAAGCGGTATAAAATGTCATATTATTTCTTAGCAATTTTCCTAACTAAATGTTGAGAAATGGACTACAATAAAACTGAGTATACTTTTAATTGTTACCCGTATGTAAACAAAATGATAGTAATAATATAGAATATAAATTTCTTCAATTATAATTTGTACATAAAAAGTGTATTCAGTTTTTATTTAAAAAGTATTAATGTAATTAGGGTAGTAAAAATTACATAATTTAAACAGACAAATAAACATTTTATTTAAGAAGAGAGAAAAATATGTGTTTCTTATATTATTATTTAACACTATTACTATAGTTTAAATGATTCTGTACTACAATTAATAGCATTAAATACAAATGAATTATTTACTGGTTTATATTGACGTGTAATCAGCTTTATTATCTCGTGCGATACACAACCACCTGAAACATAAGTTATTACACATTTTAGATTTAAATAAATAAAAATAATTTTCTAAGTATTAATAAAGAATATCTTACCAATGAATGATGATACACTATGTAATTCAGACTTGCCATAGCGGCAGTATTCATGTATGCAATCTTCTTTTGTTGAAGACATACAACCCCATTCATTTAACAATTTTGATATACAAGACTAAAAATAAGTTAAATGTAACAAACAAAATTTAAAGTTTTAGTTTAAGATAAAATAAATACCTTTAACTTAGGAATATCAGGTTCTACTTGTTCATCAATTTCACCAGGATATGTATAATATTCAGAATAAAATCTTTCTATACCACGTAGTATAATATAATGTTCAATTAAACTGTCCGGATCTTCTAAACTTTGAGCTAATAAAAAATAATGTAGTGTAACATCTATATTTTGTATTTTGTTTTGAACTGATTTCAAAATATTATGAATCTCACATATCTCATTGTCAGCATTTCCTTTATGCTCATACTCATCTGCAATCCGGGAACCCCTAATTACAGATAATTCTGACGCATGTTTACACAATACTTTGATATCTTGTTCTGTAATAGTATCATCAGGTAGATTTAAATTCTGAAGAAGCAGTTGGACACGGTTATAAACTGCTTCTGTATCTTTGGCAGCTTGCTCGTGATATCTAAAAATATACTATATAGTAATGTTTATATGTTAAGTATTGTTATTAGTTTGTGAAAAACAAACAATTGTTGTAAACTGATATATTTAAAAGTGTCAGCTGTCATATCAGGCAGTGTTCCGCGAACTGGAAGCCTACCACATCCTTCATTATCCACAAAATCTTTAAGTGCTTTAACCATTATCCAGAACGGTTGGCTATTTGAGGTTAAATTTATTAATTTTTCATCTTGGAATAAATTTTGAATATTTATCGGTAATGATGTTTTATTATAGGCAAAATTAACTGATCTAATTGCTTCTTCAAAGTTTTC